GAATGTACCCTGGACTGCCAAGAAAACAAACAGATTCATCCTGGAAAGGGTTAAACCAGGCTGCTCCTTGGAGGCAAGGATTCTGAGGCTCTGTCTTACATACTTTGGACATGTTTTAAGGAGGGAGAGGTCCTTGGAGAGGGACATCATGCTTGGTAGGGTGAAGGGACAGACAGCACAGGAGGGGAAAGCCCTCTATGAGTTGGATTGATTCAGTGACTCGGGTAATTGGGATGGGTGTATCAGAGATGGTGTGGTTGGCACAGGACACAACAGAGTTTAGGGCTGTTGTACATAGGGTCACTAAGAGTCACAAGTGACTCGACGGCACATAACAACAACAACAATTCACTGCTAGTGGGAGTATAAAATGATGCAACCACTATGAAAGGTGGCTTGGCACTTTCTTAAAAAGTTGGAAATAGAAATACCGCTTGACCTAGTAATTCCACTAATAGAAATATACTCTAAAGAAATCAGTGCTTCCAGACACACAGAAATATGCACATTCCTGTTCATTGCTGCATTATTTGCAATAGCAAAGAAATAGAAGCAACCCAAGTGTCCATCAATAAATGAATGGATAGGAAAACTATGGAATATTCACACATTGAAATAACTTGCAGCACTGAAAAACAAAGAACTCATAAATAAAATATTACACAACATGGGTGACCCTAGAGGACATTATGCTGAGTGAAATATCTCAGTCACAAAAGGACAAACCCTGCATAATACCACTGTTTTAAAACAGGACTGACATGGAGGCTAGGGTAGGGGAAACTAAGAAAAGAGGGCATAAATAATGAACACTGCATTGAAACAGGAGAAGAAAAAAGCCTGTTAAAAGAAATATACGATTAAGCATTATTCAAAGGACAGTAGTCCCTAATGAAAGGGAGGAAATGATCTAACAATGAATACTTTTTTAAGTGAACTGTGTGGAGGTACGAATGAAAATTTGCAATGATAGATGAATGAAAAAAGTCCAACTTTTCCGTCAACTTTCATTGTCATTGTTGCTGTTGTTATATGCAGTCCTAGCGATCCTATGTACAACAGGCCTGAACCCTGTTCTACTCTATGCCAACCTTATTTGTCTCTGACACACCTACCCTCATTACACCAGTCACTGAATCAACCCATCTCATCGAGGGTCTTCCTCTTTTGCACTGTCCCTCCACCCTTCCAAGCATGATGTTACTCTCCAAGGACTGGTCCCTCCTTGCAACATGCCCAAAGTATGTCAGATGAAGCCTCAGAATCCTTACCTCCAAGGAGTAGTTCATTTCTTCTCTAGGATGAATCTGTTTGTTCTCCTGGTATATTCAATACTCTTCTCCAGCACCACAGCTCAAAGGCATCAATTATCTTTATATCATCTCTAGTCATTGTCCAGCTTTCTGACACATAACAAATAATTGTGAAGACTATGGCCTGTATCAGGAACACCTTAGTCTCCAGACTGGCCTTGTTGCCAAGATTGTTGATTGTGGAGCCAAGAAAACTAAAGCCGTTAACAATCTCAATCTTTTCTATCACAATAAAAGAAGAAAAAAAAAAAGAAATGAAGAAAACAGATTCTCACCATTAGGCCAATTGGCAGTACCATGATAGATGGAGAAGAAATTGAGGTTGTTAATAATTTCAGCTTGCTTGGCTCCACAATCAACACTCTCATGCACTCAAGCAGTCAGGAAATCAAAAGGCGAATTGCACTGAGAAAATCTGCAGTCAAGGACTTCTCTAGAGTATTGAGGAACAATGATGTTATTCTAGAGACTAAGGTGCACTTGATACAGGCCATGATCCTCAGTTATGTGCTATGCATCAGAATGCTGAACAATGACTAAGAGTGACAGAAGAATTGATGTTTTTGAGCTGTGGTGCTGGAGAAGAGTATTGAACATAGCATGGACTACCAAGAAAACAAACAGGTCTGCCCTGAGAGGGTGAAACCAAGCTTCTTCTTGGAGGCTACGATTTTGAAGCTTCATCTTACATACTCTTGGCCAGGAGGAACTGGTCCTTGAAGAAGGACATCATGCTTGGAAGGGTGGAGGGACAGCACAGGAGAGGAAGATCTCAGAGGAGATGGATTGACACAGTAATTGGGGTAACTGGGGTAACTGGGGTAGGTGTATTGAACTCAGTGAGACTTGCTCAGGATAGGACAGGCTTCAGAGCTGTTGTACATAGGGTTACTATGTGACTTGACGACATATACCAACCACAGCATGATAACATTTTAGAAAATTCTTGGACTGAGTTATAGATTTGATCTTTTCCTTTTTAAGATTTTTTTTTAAATAGTGGAAATAATTAAAGAAATCTCTTATTAAAGAGACCTTTAGCGCATTTTTTTTCTGTTTTTTGTCTTTTTTTCCCCATAGGGATATATATATGTATTTTTAATTTTTATTAAATTTTATTAGTTCTAATGAACATTTACAGAGATTTTGGGTTTTCATTCATTCATTGTTGCACTGTTTTCTCTACCCTCCTCCCCAGGTCGTTCTTCTTTCTGCCCCCCCCCCCCGAATGTCTGTTTTAATTGTCCAATTGCTACAAGCACATTTTTTTTAATTTTAAAATTATTAGTAAGGGATTGAATACCAAAATTCTATTCTCATTCACATCCCAATTTTTGGTATTAGGTGAATAAGAAAAAATTTTTGTGCCAATTATATCTCTTTACATTCATTTTGCCTCAAATATGAATTTTCCCTTTTTTTTTTTTTTTTTTTTTTTACTATAGCTGGAAGCCTAACATCTGGAAAGACAATCTGGCTTAGAAACCAGTTGCTGGAGATGCTACACAGTGTAATATCTTCTCACCACCTTAATCTGTCCTCTGAGTAAGTAAGTCCAGTAAAAGTGGTTTGGCATGAAGTTATCTCATACAGGGAGGGTGTGGTAATAAAACTTTTCTTCAATTAAAAGTTAAGCATCTCTGAACCAATGTCTGCAGTGTGTTTCCCACACAACACAGGAAGAAAATTACATTCTCTCCACCCAATAAACCAGATCTTTCCCTAAGATAATTCTGGTACAAATGCTAAATGAACACAAGTAACTTTGAAACATATTTGGTATAATTACAATAAACTTCTTTTGTCATTATTGCTATTGTGTAATGATTATTGTTTCAGCAGTTGAGTCAGTTACTGATTTTCATGTCCTGAACTTGGCACAAAATGGGAAAGAAAAATAGCCCAAACAACACCAATCAAGAAAAACGCTTTCCAAATTCACTGTTATTTAGTTATTTTCTCAAGATTAAAAAGGAACTATCTACCTTCTATTTATTTCCAAATTATTGAAATCATATGACTGATTGCATGAACTGTCCTGTTAACTGTCTGCTTTACCTTCAACACCAGAACCATTCAATTCACTCAGCAGCGCTGCATTGAGCATCTGCTAGATACTAGACTCAGCTTTCTCCTCTGAGATGAAATGCTCAACAAGGCAGTCCAGATTCTTATTCTCAATGAGTTTACATTTATATGTGATGCGTTTGGGAGTGAAGAGGTCAGGTAGCCTTGAGTATAGTCATGGAAAAGTTACCAGTCTACATCTCTTTACATCCCTAGAATCAAAACAGTAGAACTTGAAGGTGCCTTGACAATGAGAGATTCCAATCTTTCTATTTGTAAATTTTTTTTAAAGAAAATGTCATATGGTGTCAAGCATATGGACTCTGATGATTAGATCTGTTGTGTTCAAATCCCAGGACTGTCCCAACTTCCTGAGGAGAGTATTTGAGGCCTTTATGCATCTCTTCAGGAAGTAATTAAGAGCTTGGCTGCTAAATGAAAGGTTGAAACTTCCAATCTACAGTCACTCTTTAAAAGAAGAATGTTGACAGTCTGTTTTCATAAACATCAACAGCCTTTGAAACCCAGTGAGGCAGGTTTACTATGTTATACGAGATTGATATGAACCAAAATAGCCTCCATACCAATAAATTTGGGTTTGGGGTTTTATTCCTCTCTATTATTCATCAGTTTAAAAACAAAACCAGTATCTGTCACAGATATACCTGGAATAATACTATGTTCTGTAAACTGGAGTTAGTGAAGTTGTCATTATTACATCACATCAATGAGGACAATAACTGGACCACATCAAGAGCTCTCCCAGAGTTATTCAGTCAGTACTGTGAGAGCCAGGGTGAAATCAGAAACAGTGCCTTGATTCTTCATCCAATGCTTCTTCCATGGCTCCCACTGGGTCCCACATGTATAGGGAAGATAATGTCAAGAACATTTCTCAGCATAAATGTCTATCCCTGGCTCCTTCAAGGCTAGTTCATTGCAGAGGTTCTGGGTCTGCTAGTTTGGTTGCCTACCTTCATTCCTACCAGTTGCCTCCAGCAAATGTGTCTTCTCCAGACACATCATTTTAAAGTTCGTTTATGAAAATTATATTTAATCATATTTTGTGCCTGCTTTGATAAGACTGTATAAATATTAGACTCTTCCATGAGATTAATTTTTATCAGTATCTTTAAAAATGACAAATAGTAATTATTTGTTTTGAAGTATTGTGTTGACAGTAATTAGACAGTGATTAAATTATTCCTGCATTATGTATGATAAATTTTGGTCCTCAAGGGTGATTATTAGAGAAACATGAGTACAAAGGCCATACATCTTCTCATGTTTTGATACATGGTGTAAGGAGCTCTACTGGCATTGTGGTTAACCAAAATGTTAATGGAGCAAACCTACCAGCTTCTCTAAGGGAGAAAGATAATGGTTTGGATACATTTTTCCAATTTCTCTGAAAAATGTGGCCCATTTTACATCACCAAAAGCAAAACCCAAACCTATTGCTATGAAGTCAAATCAAACTCAGAGTACTTTTCGGGACAGAGTAGAGCCTCCTCATAGCGCTTCTAAGGCTGCACATCTTTATGTGAACAGTTGGCCATATCTTTCTCTTGTGAGGTGGCTCGTGGTTTTGAATCACTGATCTTCTGGTTACCAGGTGACTACTTAACCCCTGTGTCACTATGAATTCTCATTCTAATTGCTGTGAGTCCTGATAGTGCAGTGGGTAGTTGATGGGATATTGATCAAAAGGCCGATGGTTTGAATCTGTCAGTCACTCTGTAGGAGACAGAGGATTCAGTCTGTTCTTAAGACATTCCCATGAGTTAGAGTTTTCTCTACAGCAATGTGTGTGTGTGTGTGTGTGTGTGTGATGAGAGAGAAAGAGAGAGATTGTATTCCAAAATCATTCATAAAAATATATAGAATTCGCAGAATGATAAGCAGGATTTTATTTTATCATCCTTTCAAAGTGTAATATGTACTTTTCTAAGGGTTATCTCAATACCAATCTTAACTTGCTTTACATAGTTATAAGAATGAACATCACTTGTATTTTCTGGACATGCTCTTTGATTTTGGTCAAAGAGGTGAGATGATTTGTTGTATTTTCCTTCCCAGGACAAAGGAAAAAATGTTTCTGAACCTAGGGCCAGACTGGTTCCTACTTCTCATGCAGGGCCACCTGCATCCCAGCACCACCCTGCTGTCACTGAAGCTGCTGCTCCACTTCTTGTCAAATCCCACCCTCTGCAGGCGATTTAAAGAGGGTCTATCTGCGGGATCCTGGGTGGAAAATAGCTCTGTGGGTTTCGATGTCATAATGGGTGAGTGTGCCCTTCTAAAAGAGATCCTATCCTGTCATATCCTCAGATGTGATGAAGACTTAATCCTCTCTCTTCATGCTCAAGGCCTTGATAAGGGAACATGCTACCCTGACTCCAAGTTTTGTATGACCAAGACACCTGCCCAGGCCTCTGTACCTTCACCACAAGGGGACTTCTTTCCTGCCTCAAAGCTTTTTAACTCTTTGCTCCTAGAGCATTCAAACCCCATTCTGTCATTTCTGTTTCAAAGCACATGACCTCTGAATCTGTGAGGTGGAGTCTTGCCTGAATTAAGACACCTATTATTTCTCTTTAAGGCTCTCTCTCTCTCTCTCTCTCTCTCCCTCCTTCCCCCTCCCTCTCTCTGCATTTATCTTTTACCACCTTCCTCTGAGTTTTGTATGCTAAATTTTGTCCAAACACTGTGCTTGTTGACAAGTATAAAGTTGCCTTCTCATTGCCTTCTCATGGTAACCCCTGCACATCAGAGTAGTTCTGTGCTCCAGAGGGTTTTCAGCATCTGGTTTCAGGAACAGCCTCCTGGGCCTTTCTTCTGAGGAGCCTGTGGGTACACTCATGTCTAAGACTTTTCAGTTAATAGCTGAATATCTAAATTGACTGCACCATAGAGACATCTGTTTTTGAGTGTGTGAATGGAAGAGTTTCAAGGACAGAAAAGGAATTACAGTCCATCATTTCATAGTGATCATTTATGTGTAGTAATGTTTCTACCGTCTATTTCTAAAGAGTGTATGGCTGGTAGGACATTTCCACATATGTCCAGTCCTCACTTTGTTGAAAGAAACAGTAGTAATTCTCGATTATTGGATTTGTGCTCCTTCCCCTGGTCAACAGACAATCTGAAGAGTCCCCCTGCCACCCCTGAGCAGACACCCTGCCTGCTGCCTGGGTTCTGCATGCTGAATGCCTTCCTGGCCCACCATGTTCACATTGCTGAAGTCTACCTCATCGTGTCCTCTTTCTTCCTAAAGACTCAGCTCACAGAGCTGACTGACAAGCCCAAAGTAAGTTCTGGGGTGCCCCTGGGCTCTAGAGACTATGTGGTTTTATGATTTCACAGGATTCAAGACACCCCAACAAAGTTCTCCACTATTCACTCTCTTCCATTCTTCACTTATGTTTGTACCCTGGCCCTCATCCCAAAAAGTTCTGCACCCCTTGTTAGCTTTCCACATGTTCTTATGTGAACATCCTTGTCTTCTCAGACCATTATTCCCATAAACCTTCTCAGCTAGTCTTTAATTGGAGTCAGTCCCATTTTTAAGCCACATTGTTATGTGTGGAAGAGAATTTTCGCCACCACAGACTCAGACATCCAAGAGTCACTTAGTGCCTTCAGGAAAAAGAAAAATGAGTCCCTTCTCCTTTGGTGACAGCTCCAGTTTCCAGAAGTTTGACTATAAATCTTATTTGCCTTTGTGTCTTATGCTCTTGTCAGATAACTCAGCTGACAATGGAGCAGGGACTGCTTCTGGTGTGGATGGGGGGCAGTGCCTCAATACCCTACTCACCCCACTTCTTGTCCAGAACTTTCTTTTCCACTACCTGCGGTCTGTTGTTACTGGAAGAGGGCTAATTTCTAAGGCTACCATCTTCCTCTTATGGCATTTTAATTCCTTCTGCTTCTTCCCTGAGACACCACACAATGCTATTCCTTTTTATATTTTCACTTATATTTCTTCTAGATCTCCTTTTCTACTAGGATACTTTTCTTACAGAAATAAAAATGTTCAAATCTATCCCACCTAAAACAAAATTTTGTCCCCTTTAGTATTCTTGAGTACCAATGCCCAAGGTGCCACTCTATGCCTATCCTCAGCCAATTTTTCTTAAAGAGGCATCTGCTCTCTATACAAACTTCCCACAGTACAGTAAATTTAATCCTCCAGTCACTCCCTCTTCTTGAAGACTATCACTAGCATGTAAGATCACCCATGATTGGATTCCTGCTTTGACTCCCTGGTCCATCTTCATCACTCAGTACTTTGTACCATGGTCACTCTGAACTCTTCCCTGCAACACCAGCTGTGCCCTGTACTTCCCTGCTTTGTGCTGCTACCAATCTCTTGATATTTACTCCAACCTTCACCTGCCTAGTGAGCTTTTAATTCCCTTCAGTATTAAGCTCAGACACCATCATCTAACTTAGACTTCCTAGACAGAAAAGGATAATGTCCCTCTTTTTATTATTAACAATTTCTTTACAGTGACAAAGCAAGTTGATTTTCCATTCAACCACTCAAACACATTTTGTTTGGGTCTGTTCAAGTATTCTACATCTGTCCATGTTAATCTGGGTAGCACACGAGTTTCAAGGGATTTTTCCATTTCCTCTAAGTTTTCAAATTTATCAGAGTATAGATTTTCATATTATTTTAATATTAGAGAATGTTTTCTGGTTCTGTTGTTATGTCACCTCTATTATTTCTTAATCAATTTATTTGTGTCTTCTCCTTTTTTCTTTTGTTAAGGTTTTTAATGGTTTGTCCAATTTATTTTCTTAAAACCAGCTCCTTGTTTTGTTTATGGTTTCACTTGTTTTTCTGTTTCCTAGCTCATTGATTTCAGCTCTTGTCCTTACAATTTCCTTTCTTCTAGAGGCTATGGAGTTTAATTGTTCTTTTTCTATTTGATGAAGGTGTTTAGTTAGATCATTAATTTTGCCTCTTTCTTTATTGTTTATGTGTTTGCCTCTTGCTATGAACTTCCCCCTGAGGACTGCCTTAGTTGCATCCCAGAGGTTTTGGTATGTTGTCTTTTCATTTTCATTTCTTTGAGGAACTTTTTAATTTTATTCTTTATTTCTTTTATAACCCAATCATGTTCTAGCAGAGTTATTTTGTTTCCACACAAGTGGTTTTGTAAGCTTTACCCTCCTATGTTTAATTTTAATTTCTATCACATCATGATCTGAGAAGATACTTTGTATTATTTCAATATTTTTTAATTTGTTGAACCTTGATTTGTGCCCTAGTACATGGTCAGTTCTGAAAAACATCCCATGTGCACTTGTGAAGAATGTGAATTGAATTTTAGTTGGGTGCACTAACCTGAATACATCCACAAGGTAGAGTTGGCTAAATGTGTAGTTTAGATCTTCTGAATCTTTGTTAAGTTTCTTTTGAATTGACCTATCCTTTGCTGAGAGTGGTGTGTTAAAGTCTCCTGCCACTATTGTGGTGCTGTCTTTGTCTTTCTTCAACTCTGTTAACTGTTGTTTTATGTATTTAGCAACACTATCATCGTTCTAATGCTAAACCTATACTTGGACCAAGAGGCAGTCATCAGAACAGAGCAAGGAAACACTGCATGGTTCAATATTGGGAAAGGTGTACGCCAGGGATGTGTCCTATCTCCATACCTTTTTAATCTGTATGCAGAACAGATTATCCGAGAGGCTGGGCTCTACGAGGAGAAGTGGCATCAGGACTGGTGGAAGATCAATTAACAATCTGCGTTATGCAGATGACACAACCCTGATTGCTGAAATGGAGGACAACCTGAAATGATTCTGCAGAGGGTCAAGGACTGCAGCCTTCAGTATGGATTGAGGCTCAATGTCAAGAAGACAAAGATTCTCACCACTGGACCAATTGGCAGCATCAGGATGGATGGTGAAGAGATTGAGATTGTTAACAACTTTAGCCTGCTTGGCTCCACAGTCAACACTCTTGGCACCAGTAGCCAGGAAATTAAAAAAAAAACCAAAAACAAAAAAAAAAACAAAACCAACCACGTATTGCCATGGGAAAGTCTACTGTTAGGGACCTCTCCAGGGTACTGAAGAGCAATGGTGTCACTCTGGAGACTCAGGTGTGTCTGATACAGGTTATGGTCTTTGCAATCACTTGTTATTCTTCAGAGAGTTGGGCAATTACTAAGGAGGACAGAAGGAGAATTGATGCTTTTGAGTTGTGGTGCTGGAGAAGAGTATTGAATGTACCATGGACTGCCAAGAAAACAAACAGATTCATCCAAGGGAGGGTTAAACCAGGCTGCTCCTTGCAGGGAGGATTCTGAGGCTTCATCTGACATACTTTGGACATGTTGTAATGAGGGAGAGGTCCTTGGAGAAGGACATCATGCTTGGGAGGGTGGAGGGACAGCGCAGGAGAGGAAGGCCCTCTATGAGGTGGATTGATTCAGTGACTGGGATAATTGGGATGGGTGTGCCAGAGGCAATGCGATTGGCACAGGATAGAGCAGGGTTTAGGGCTGTTGTACATAGGATCACTGTGAGTCACAAGCAGCTCGACGGCACATAACAACAACAACAACAACAACAACATCATTTGGTGCAAAGATGTTGAACAACGTTGTATCTTCTTGATCTACTGTGACTTTAATTATTATATAGTGCTCTAGCTTTTAGTTAGCAGTGATTTTTATTCTGAAGTCTATTTTATCAGTGATTAGTATTGCCACTCCTGCTATTTTGTTGATGCCATTTGCTTGGTATATTTTCTCCATCCTTTGGTTTTAAGTATATCTTTCTCTTAATTTGTTTGATGTGTCTCTTGTAGACAATATATTGATGAGGTTCCTCCCCCCACTCTGCTTCTTTTTTTCTCTTGATTGGTGCGTTTAGTCCATTCACATTAAGTTTGATTATTGGCAAGCCAGGTTTTATCATTGCCATCTTTCTGTGTTTCTTTTTCGGTTGTTTCTTGTTACTATGGTCCATCCACTTTCCTTTGTTGTTCTGTGTGAAGTACTTTCCATAAAAGTTATTCTAGATCTGGTCTTGTTTTTACGAATTCTTAAGATCTTTCTTTACTGCAAAGGATGTGATTTCCCCTTCATATTTGGTGGCGAGCTTTGCTGGGTATAGGATCCTCTGTTGTCAACTGTTTTCTTTCAGCTTTCTGTATATGCCATACCATTGTCTTCTTGCTCTCATGGTTCTGCTGCAAATTCAGGACTTCCTTTTATTGCTTTTCCTTTGTAGGTGAATCTTTGTGTTTCTCATGTTTCTTTTAGTATTCTGTCTTTATCTTTTATTTTGGAGAATTTGACTATGATATGTCTTGATATTTTTCTTTTGGGGTCTCATCTATATGGTGTTCACTGAGCTTCTTGAAAGTGTATTTCCTCATTCTTCAAAATACCTGGAAAGTTTCCTTCTAGTACTTCTTCCACAATTGTTCCAGTGATTTCCTTATCTCTCTTATATTCTAGAACTCCAATAAATATGTTGTTCCTTTTGTTGTCACCTCACATGATTCTAATATTTTCTTTATGCTTCATCTCTAATTTTTCTTGTAGAATGGTTCTGTTAAGGTTCATATCTTCTAGCTAATCTGACTATCTATCTTCTAATCTGTCTTCTGACTAATCTTATAGCTCCATCTCTTCTGTTTACTTTTTTTGTCCCTCCAGCATGCTGGGCATTTCTGCCATTTCGGTCTTAATATTCTGGATTGCATTTTCATCTATTTCTATTCTTTTCAGTACTGTGTTGACTATGTCCTATCTTGTTATGATTTTTTTTTTAATTTCTTGTACCTCTGTATCTACAGTTTCAATCCTCTTTCCATTTTTGCACTTTCTTCTGAACTTATTCAAGTTCCTCCTTATCAACATTTTTCTTTGGGCTCCCTGTCTCTGGGATGTTTGCTTTCTTAGTGGTTTCCATTATTTCTTCCTTCATTTATACCTTCTTCCATAGCTATTCAATACCTCCTCATCATTATATTTCTTCTGATTCTCTACCTGTAGGGTATACCCTCATTTGTGGCTTTCATTGTTTCTTCCATCATTTGTACTTTATTCCAAAGCCATTTTAATGTCTTCATATCAACACATACTATATGCTTTCTTGACTCCAGGGTATTCATTGGGTCTACAGTATTTTCTGCCTTTTTTTGAGAAGGCTTTATTTGTTTTCTTGCAGTGTTTGAAGCTGTTTATGTTTATTATTTCTCAGCAGTATGTGAAGTTTCTCTTTATAATTGTTAAGCTGTTTCTATTGTGCCTTTGTAAATTGTTGGTAATTCTTATCTTTATGATGTTATTAATTTATAATTAATATATGGTTAAAATGTTCACTCTGTTGGGTGAGCCACTCACTCTACTGAAAGTCCTTTTTGGGAAAATTTGCCTTTCCTAAGATCCTTTAGATTCTTCCTATTCTGCACAGCAGTCCTCCAGGAATCTTGCCTTAATGTATTCTCCTGTCCCAAACTCTATTGTCCTCCTTCATTTATGGAGTGGCTGAGTGGTATGAGACCAGGTGCTCCACTCAAGCAGTTTCTGTGTAGGAGGCTTTCAAGTTAGCTCTCTTTTTTTCAGCTCATTATGCCAGTTGAGAAAACTGAGACAGTCTTTCTCTGCTTGTGGCCCTCTGTCTCAAATTCTGTTGTTCTGTTTGATCCATGGGATGGCACCCAGGCAAGAATCCCCAAATGGAGGGACCTATTACAGGGAAGTTTCAGGTCAGTCTCCCCACAGGCCCCCCAAAGGGCTCGCTCTGGGAAAAAATGTCTCATCTTCTGTGCTTTCTTTCCTTAAGCATAATGTCTTCCTTTATCTCTGGAGTGGTGTAAGTTCAGCTCTCTTTTTTGCAGTTCAACATGCCAGTTGAGATAGCTGAGAAATTCTTTCCCTTGCTTGTGGTCTGTTTCCTTTGCTGTGATTCTTGTCTTGTCTGGCCCTGGGGTGGCCCCACAGACATGGAGGCAAGGATCACCAAATGGTGGGACCTATCTCCAGGAAAGTTTCAGTCTTGTCCCACAAGCACCCAAAATGGCTCACTCTGGGTGTCTCTGTCTCACCTCCTGTGCTTTCTCTCCTGATGCTTATTCTTCAGCTCCTTCTTAAAAACAGTTGCTGTGAAACTGTTTCAACTCTGACTCATTAGAACCCTTCAGGTTTCAGAGAACTGTTCTGCATAAGATTTCAATGGCCAAATTTTTAGAAAGAGATTACCAAGTCTTTCTTCCAAGGTGACTCTTGTGAACATGAACCATTGATTAGGCTTGAATTTGCCTAAGAACCCACTTCTTTGGCTGCTGCTACTCTATTATTTCCTTCTTCTGGACATACCTGGGAAATAGCAGACATTGTAAAATGTGATACCCTTGGTGTGTAACACGAGTTTTCTCTCCCTTCTTTGTCAGGATGACCTAGAGGTCATGTTTCAGTGGCTCCTGCAGAAGCACCACAGGGAAGAGGTTCTCCATGCTGGACTGTGCCTGGAAGGTGCTCTGCTGATTCTGGAAATGCTTAAAGTCAGCATAAACCAGGTGAGGCCGTTGTTTTCCACATTCCCAAGGAAGATCACTGGAAAAGTCACCTTGACGTTGCTCAGATGCTGCCTTATAATGCCTATAACTCATAAACACCTGTCCTGGCCCTTTGAAAGAGGAGAAAGGAGAGCCTTGGGGTTGACTTTGTCCACTGAGACATCTGTGTCCTCAGTAAAATGAAACATTTCTGACAGTTATACAGACCAGTTGCTGTGGTTCCCTGTGGAGAAGAAAGAGGATATTCCCCCTTCAAGGCCTATCTCCACCAGGAAAGTAAAAGTCAGTTAGAAAGTAAATAATGTGCAGAAAAGAAATGTTGCTGCCAGATATAAATATGAAATAAAGGTTTCCAGAGTGAATAGCATTTTATTTGAGTCTTCACTGAAGTCCATTATAGATAGATTCAGAAGTATTTCAGATATGGAATTGTATATCTGTGTAGTGTCTCCATGGATAAGAAAAACTGTCAGAACAAGAAAATGTGTCAGATTGACACATGAAAATATTCTCACTTCATTCTCTATACATCAAGGAGAATTGAAGACTTTATTGTATACAAAAAACTTCATTGCTTTTATGAAATAACATACGCTTATTTTAAAAATGTAAACAAATGAGAAAAGTAGAGAGTAAATCACCCAGAATGCCTTTGCCAGAGATGACCACTTTGAACCTCTGTAACAAATCAGAAACTTTTCCCAGTATTCATAGCAGCATTATTAACCATCACAAGAACATAGAAACAGCCCAGATGTCTAACCACAATCAAATGCAATACTACACAGCATGCAGGAGCAATGATTTTGTAAATTACTACCTAACATGGGAGGGACTAGAAAGCATTATGCTGAGTGAACTAACTCAGTGTCATATGGAAAAATACTGTATAAAACCATTATTGTAGAATGAATTATTATTGTATAATTATTGTGTGAGGATCCAATGGGTGGGAGGGTGGAAGCAGAGGGGTCAGGGTGTGTGTGTGGAAATAATCAATTTGATGAGGAGGGGTGAAGGAAATGAGAAGAATCTAGTGTGAAAACAATGTATTCAAATTTTGTAAATAAACTAGAATAAATTAAAAAAAAGAAAAGAAACTTCTCCTAGGTTGTACCTCATCATTGGGAGGATTAGAGTTGTTTGCCTTTTTCTTTAAGTCTATTATAGATATCTGTTAATTTCAGTAATCAAATATGGGAATTATCTAATCTACAGATAACAATTTACATTGATTTTCTGAGTTTTCATCTTTGTTAAAAGTCTGTGATGAACTTCTTTGAGCTGACATCATTTTCTCTTGCTTGATGACCTTGCCATTGCAAACACTACAACAGTGATAGCAGGTATATTGTTCGTAGGTACCATCAAGTCATCTACAACTCTTAGTGACCCTATGGACAACAGATCAGAACATTGTCCTATCTTGCATTATGCTCTTGAACTCTTAAGTATTCACACCCATTATTATAGTCACTGTGTCAATCCATCTTGTTGAAGGTCTTCTTCACCTCTTTCCCTGATCCTCCATCATTCCCAGCATTGTTACACTTCTCTGTCCAAAAGGAAAGAGTTTAGTGATGGAATGAACTACTCAAGATTTTAGTTTACTCAAGAGGTAAAGGGAGAGGAACGCATGATTGAGGGTCTTGCCAACCTCTACATCCTTAGCTTTTATTGACAAGTTTTCCTTTACATATGTAGTAAAATATGTTAACAGGACTCCAAGATTTTTTTTCTTATTTGATAACCTTCTATGTTTCCATAAGTACATCTTTATTAGAAAACAAGTTCATTATGAGAATCACAGTATTGAGCATCCAGTGTTTGTTTTGTCTCAACCCAGGCAACTCCTGCCTTGGTCAACCTAATTCCTACAAAGCATGTTGTGTTTTGTCAAGGACTGATGCCTTCTGAAAGAATGGCCACAATTACATGAGATGACATTTCCCTATACTTACTTCTAAGGAGCAGCCTGGTTGCACTTCTTCTAAGATAGACTTATTTGTTATTTTGACACTCTATGGGATATTCATTACTCTTTGCCAACACCACAATTCAAACATCACTTCTTTTGTCATCCTTAGATATTATGCAACTTTCAGATACATATGAATTAATAAAAAAGATTATAGTTTGGATCATGTGCACTTTAATCTTTAAACTGACATCTTTGCTCTTTATTGAGAGGTCCTTGACAACAGATTTTCCCAGTGCAAAATGTCTTTTGATTTCTTGACTGTTGTTATTCTGGGTGTTTATTGTGAATTCAAGTAAAATAAAATAGTAGACAGATTCAATCTTTTCTTCATCTATCATGATGTTGCCTATAGGTTCAGTGGTGAGAATTTTTGTTTTCTTGGTACTGAAGGGTGTTGTTTTTGATTGGCATTGAGTCGAGCATGAATCATAGTGACCCTATAAACAACAGACATGAAGCCTTTCTATAACTACCATTTCTCAAAGTTCATAAAATTTTCAGAAGCATGTTGTTTAGGAAGTGGATGCCACTCCTGCTTTCAAAACTGTCTTAAATTGGGATCCCAGCCAAATACGATCCACCATGGGTAACAGTTATGCCATTTGACACCTAATGGCACAAGATTTGGCATTACAGTAACCCCAGGTTACCTCAGTATAGAGTATTGACAGAAGAGTGCTATACAACTTAGAAAAAGGTTCCTCCAAAATATAATAACAACTAAGTTTTAAATACAAAGGCCCTCCCAGATGTCTTTTTTACTTTAAACTAGAAGTTTAACTAGAGAAGTTATGGTATATTCACACAATGGAATACTATGCAGCACTAAAAAACATGGAACTCCTGAAGTATTGTACAAAATGGGTGACCCTGGAGGACATTATGCTAAGTGAAATATCTCAGTCACAAAAGGACAAATGCTGCATAATGCCACTGTTGTAAAACAGGACTGACACTGGGGTTAGGGAGAATCTAAGAAGGGATAAATAATGTACACTGCATTGAAACAGATGAGGAAAAGAACTGCTTAAAAGCAATATGTTATTAGGTATTATTTGTATGAAAACAATCTAGAATAAAAATTGCGTAGTATGAAATATTTTCTTTCAAAGAGAAAAGCAAACTGGATGGAGACAGGGAGAAAAATGTGCAACAATTAATGAGTGGAAATTCAGGTTTTCTATAAACTTACATTAAAATCTCAATAAAGAAAAACAAAATAAAAACCAACCAATGTAGTATATTGTTATCATTATGTGCCTTTGAGTCACCTGTGATCTATAGTGATCCTATCTACAGTAACTCTGAACCCTTCCCTGTTCTGAGTCAGTCTCATTAATTCTGACACACTAATCCCCATTTCTCCAGGCATTGTATCAGTCCATCTCATCTGGAGTCTTCCTCTTCTGTGCTGTTCCTCCACCCTTCCAAACATGATGTCTTTCTCAAAAGAAGGGTCTCTCCTGGCCATCTGCCCAAAGTATGTGAGATGGAGCTTTAAAATCCTAGCCTCCAAGGAGATACTTAGTTTTACCCTCTCCAAGCCAAACCTATTTGTTTACTTTCTTAGCAGTCCATGGTATGTTCGAGACTCTTCGCTAGCACCATAACTCGAAGCCATTGATTCTTCTTCTGTCATCCTTAAGTCATTGTCCACCCGTTAGAAGCATAACAAGTAACTGAGAAGACCATGGCCTGGATTAGGTGCACCTTAGTCTCTAGATGGACATAGTTGCTTTTCAGCACTCTGAAAAGGTCCCTGACTGCAGATTTTTCAAATACAATTCATCTTTTGATTTAAGGGTGTAGTCTTTACTTTTCTGCAGCAAGTTATGTTTTCTTTAAACAAGTTTATAGCAGGTTTTTGCTAACTCTTTCTGTAATCCTGAAGTCATGTTCTTCTTCTTTATTCAAGTTTCTTGAATGATTTGCCTAGTATACAGATTTAAAATGTATGTAGAAAGGATTCAACCCTGACACACATCTTTCCTGATTTTAAACTATGGCATGTTCTTTTGTTTTGTTTGGACAACTAATTCTTGGCCTGTAGGTTTTTCATAAGCATAACGAAATGTTCTGGGATGTCCACGCTCCTCAAAGTTATCTATATTTGGTTAAAGTCAGTGTATTTCATGTCTTTTTCCTTAGGATGCCATCTTGCATGAGAATTCTAGTCTTCAAAGCCTGTACAATAGCCAAACTATTGACAAATTTATAGCTGATTTATTTTGCAATTATAATTACCAGTTTCACAGGGAGACACAATGCTTTGAATTTAAAAAGCACACTTTTAAAATAATTTTCATTTCATTATAATAGCCTTTTGCCAATAGTCTTTTGCCAATTTTATAATAGTCTTTTGCCATTTTTTTATTGGAGAATGTGTATGTACATGTATATGTGTATGCATTTATTTTTATTTTTTTGTTAGAATCCATTATATAACATGTTCCTTGTTATGTCATCTTTTTCCTGGTTTATGTATTTTGTTATTTTTACATTATAAAGAGAAGATATTTAAACTACAGTGTAAATTTCCATGGAGGCACTCAGGTGGTCTAGAGGATAAGAAGTTGCGCTGTCAATTCAAATGCATGTGGTTCAAGTTCACTAACTTCTCAGAAAGAAAAAGATAGGCAGTTTCTTACCATGTGATTTGAAAACCCTCTGGATGGTCTATCATGAGCTTGTTCTGTCTTGACAGTCCATAATAACAAATGTGTCTTAATCTAGGAGCTCAACTAAAACAGATTAAGACAGTATAGGAAAGAGGATTGACCATCCACTTCTGAAACAACAGGCCTCTGAAAACCTTATGAACACTTGAGGAACACAGATATAGTATTAGATGTAGAGTGCAGATTGGAAGTCAATCAAAATGAGGAGAAATAGCTGCAAACATCCTTTAATAGTTGAAACATGGAATGTACAAAGTATGAATATTGGAATACTAGATGTTGTGAGAAATGAAATGCAACGCATAAATATAGACATTAGTGAAATGAAATGGATTGGCTTT